TGTCCTTTTAACACCTTCCACGTTTGCATACGTTTTCCCATTTAGATGGTGTTGCAGCGAATGGAATGTGATGATGCCATATCTGTAGAATATGGTGGATGGAAGAGAACTTCCCAACCCATCTCCATAATATGGTGTTGCGTCAAACGTGCCACATGTGGACGTGCATTGCCGTGGAGAAGAAGAGCACCTTTCCGATTGTGAGTGAAAGGTGTTTCTGATGAAGGGCTTGATTTAAATGTTCCAATTTCTGACTATAGATCTCTGCATTGACAGTTCACTGTGGATTAAGGAGTTTGAAATGAATTACTCCTTTGCTGTCCCACCAAATGCAAAGCATCATTTTCTGCGGATGGAGTCCAGGTTTTGGGGTTGGAAATGATTTTTGTCTAGGACTAAGCCATTGTTTTTGGCGTTTAATATTCGCATAGAGAATCCATTTTTCATCAGTGGTGACAACTCTGTCCAAAAATGGTTCACGTGCCAGAAGCAACGTTCACACGTTGGAAATGATGATCATCAGAAAGTTCGTGAGGCACCCAAACACCTTCTTTATGGAGTTTTCCCATATTCCTTAGACATTTACGTATTTTTTCATGAGAGACATACAATTTCATAGCCTTTTCATGAGTGTGTTGCCTTGGGTTAGACTCAAGAAGTGTCTTCAGAGCAGCAATATCAATTCCAATATGTCGGCCCCTGCCATCACAGTCTTTAAGGCTAAAGTCATCTGAAAAAATTTGCTGAACCATCGTTGACACTTACGAACATTCAGAACAGTTCCATAAACTTCTTTGATATATGTGGCTACAGAGACATTGTTTCCTTTTTGGTTTTCAAACAGCATTACATGTTGAATATGTGTGTTGTTGTGTGCCACTACTATAAGAGATTAGAGTATACTACACTTTGCACATTATATAGGCTACACTAACTACATTTTATACCAAATGACTGGCTCACAGATCTAGTAGTAAAGAACTAAATAATTTTTATTTAGTTAAATAATACACAAAAGAACATAGACTAATAACATGCAAAAAGTAGACAATTTCCTTTAACTTTCAAATTTATCTGCCTTTCAAACTGTGCAACAAGAGACATCAAAAATTCATCCAAGCTAATCGTTAACTTTCCCACGGGAATGACCCTGTATTATAAGTGAAATTGACCCTTATCTGCTCAGAACACAATGTTATATAATATGTCATTTGATAGATGAAAACCTTCACTTTCTATTGGTTATAGATAATATATAATTAAACGTAAGAGAGAACTATTAACAAATCGTGAAAGAGAGGATGAGATATTTGGGTGTGGCAGGAAGGGTCTGATTTTCTATTTGATATCTCTGTGACCAAACAAAATGGAACGCTATAAAAATTATGGTTTGACTGAGCAATTTTATAGTAAGTAAGTTACATTGAATTTCGTACTTTTTGGAGAGGTGATGGATAAAATAGAGTAGATAACTAGAAAAAATGTCACGTGTCACACTAGGGGAAATTTGGGATTTTTTTAAATATTGCCTTATAGAATTAAGAATTGAAAACTTATTTACTATTCAAATATGGATTATTAGCTAAGATTTTATGCTATACTAATTGGTATAACATAA